TGATCTTGAAACCCTCTTGGAATTGTCCGACCACTAACTGAGAATCAGAGTGGACCTGGATTTTTCGAGCACCTCCGTCCAAAGCTAGCTGTAGCCCCTTTATCACCGCCTCGTATTCTGCCTCATTGTTTGATATTCGAAACCCCATTTTAACAACAAACTCCAAGTAATCTCCCTTGGGCGACACCAGGACTATGCCCAAGCCCGCTCCACTCCTTGAGACTGAGCCATCCGCAAACAATTGCAACATTCCCTCTGTTTTCTCCTCCTCCTTCGTACACTCCTGAATGAAAAATTGGCCAGAACTTGCACTTTGATCGCCCTCCTTGGCTCATAAAGGATAGAGTATTCTCTTAGCTCGACCGCCACTTCACAGTCGACCAGATACCGCTGGTCGGCCTAAAGTCTGCTCCAGAGGCATGTTCGTTCGCACCTTAACTCTATGCTTCAGGAAATATGGTCTCAGCTTTTGAACCGTCACAACCACCGCCAATGCACATTTCTCAATCTTTGAGTACCTCAACTCTACTCCTTGCATTACTCGACTGACATAGTATATTGGAAACTATGCTACCCCCTCCTCACGTAACAGCACCGAGCTTACTGCACTCTCGCCCACCGATATGTAGAGCACAAGCTCTTCTCCATGTACTGGCTTAGCTAGCAGGGGCAAGTTTGCCAGCACCTCCCGCAACTCCTCGAAGGCCTTTTGGGCTTCCTCCGTCCACTGGAATTTCGAGCTCTTCTCCAACGTTCGGAACAGAGGACCACTCTTCTCAACCACTTTAGAGATGAATCTGCTTAACCTGCTATTCAACCAGTCAGTATTTGAACCTCCTTCACACTGGCGGGGGGCTTCATCTCGATCACCGCTCTCACCTTCACAGGATTTACCTCTATTCCCCGCTTCGTCACCATGTATCCTAAGAACTTCCCTGCCTTCACACCAAATGAGCACTTGGCTGGATTAAGCTTCATGCCATACTTTCTCAGCGTTTGGAAAGTCTCCCTTAGGTCGCCCACGTGATCCGCCTCCATCCTGCTCTTCACTAACATGTCATCGACATATATTTCCATATTTCTTCCCAACTAGTCTTTGAAAATCTTGTCGACCAGCCTTTGATAAGTAGCCCCAGCGTTCTTCAACCCAAATGGCATAACCACATAACAATAGGTGCATTTGCTCGTTATGAAGCTCACCCTCTTCCAATCTTCCTTTGCCAAGG